AAAGCATAAATTTCTATTTACAAGTGTTCCTTTGATTTATCTGCGAAGTAAAACAGACATATCACATCTGTTCTTGTAAGTTATTCACCTCAAGGATATTGGTTCCACTTCTTTCGTTGCGTGGTCTAGAATCCCAAATTCCAGAGTTAAGTTGATTCCCGTTTACAATTCCTACATTTATTCATCAGAAAATACGACGTTGATCAGCTGACAGAACCGTCGACTTGATCATTGTAACAATAGCTCTTGAAGTACAAACAGAAGGTCCTCATTATGCAGTTTTTTTATAGTCTCCTCTTATTTTTCCTCAGACACTGTGCAAGATAAAATTTCACACCCATACCAGTAAAAGGTATAATTATAGTTCTTGTTTTAATATTTATGTCTCAACGTATCTGACCGGGGCACGAAGGATTCCAAATCCAATGGTAGAAAGCGTGTCCAGAAAACTCAGCAAATTTTGAACAGATTTTAAAATTAGATATGTACGTGATTTGAGTGTTTCACAGCCTTTAAATGTACTGTGATGTTACTAACGCTAAACTTCACAACGCAGAAGACTACGTTTCAAAACTGCCAAATTTATTTCGACACCATATAAAAATTGTAATTTCCCTGCGCTGTGATTCCGACAAATAACTTCCTTCATTCTATTATTTGAACAAATTGCACACAACCAGAGACATTTTCGATGGTTTCTTGATTGTATGAGGTCGGATTGTTGGACCGGAAGTGATTTCCGGTAACATAATATGGAGGGTCAGTATGTGTTGAGCTTATAGCTGAGTACATCTAAGATATACGATCGGGTTTTGTGTTATTTTAAGCTGAGAAGTTGGCAGGTAACACCTGTGACGTTAATCGCCTTCACTTTCTGTAGGTTATTTCAATAAGGAAGCGTCTTTGTATGTGGTAACTATTGTTTCTTGTCTGCTGTTGCAATGGATGTGTGGATGATGGCAAGATAACGAAATTAATGCAGATGATTTCTCAGATATGACAACACGTTACAGCGGGATTCATTTCCGTGTTTGAAGTTACGAACATTAAAAGAGTTCATCATTATAATTCATTATACAAGTAATGCATATATATAGGGTGAGTAAAAGGTACATTTGGAAAATTTAAGGGCATGTTCTGGGAAGTAAACCAATAAAAATGTTTTTATGAACATGGTGTCGGAAATACTTTCTTACCTAGATATTATAAATTAATGCAGAACACACATTCCTGTTACAAAGTGTTTATTACGATGTATCTAATTCGCGATTTTACAAGAGGTGTTCAAAATCCGACCCCTCGACCTTCACACATGCCCGAGTTTGACGAACAGTGGACTGAAGAACATGCTCGAACACACCAGGGCTTGTTCTAACCTTCTTACAAGCAACCCACACACGTTGCCATAGCTCATGTTACGTGTTAATCGGCGTTGTATGCACCATGGACTTCAACTGGCCCCACAGGTAACGGTCCAAGGGGTTAAGACCCGGAGATAGCTCGGTCGCCATGCCACAGGGCCTCCTCGTCTAATCCACCGTCGTGGGTAATATTCATCCATGTAACCTTTGACTACACGGCTGAAGTGAGCCACCGGAGCACATTAGTCCGCCGATATCAAGCGGTACGTCTTCGAGAAGAAACGGCAAATCATTGTCCAGGAATCGCAGATAAAACTCTCCTGTAAGGCGTGCTGAAAGCATGAGGACAATTCCCATCCACTCCTTCTCTGAAAACTTACTTTGAAAGTGCGATTCCCTGGCCGCATGTGGATTTCGTGTAGCTCACACGTGTTCGTTGTGATAATTAAATACACCGTCTCTCGTAAACATTGCTTCGTCTGTGAATAGCACGCAAACGTTGAACATAGGATCCCTCGCGTGCTGGCCCAAGAAACACTGACAGAATTGTTGACGAGCAGGGCGAGGAGACAGGAAAATTATTGTACTGGATGACAGTGGAAAGCAAGTAGCCCGTTCTTTGCGCAAAATTCGTGACACGGTAGATTCCGAGGTGTGAATCCCAGCAGCAATCCGGCGAGTAACTGGAACGTGGACCTACTTCGACTGTGTCTAACACATCTTCCTCCAAAACTATCGACCGCGGTCGATCTGCGACAGTGATACTGTTTCGCGGGCACTATGATTTTCAGCAATAAATGTAGGTTCCGATGGCAAGCGTCTGTTAGGATATTTTTATGTATAACGGCGACGCGCAGTACTTACGTCGCATAACATTTCACCGTATGTCAGATGGATGTCGCTCAATTCGACTGCATACCGATTAATACAAATTCTTATATGTTCTAGCAGACTACAGTGCTTGTGTACTAAATCATACACTTTTATTTACTGAAACACGGATAGATTTGTAACCACAATATAGTGAAGTTGGGGTTCGCAGTGGCCGCGTGGTCTGAGGCGTGGGCCTTGTGCCGCTTGGTCGCGGGGACTGTGGGTTCGAGTCCCACTCAAGCCTTGGATGTTTGTCCGCGTCTTTCTGTGTTGTGCTGTCCTGTGTATAGGTAGAGGCCTTGCGACGGGCCGATCCCTCGTCCACGGAGTCCTACCGAATGTCTATAGATCAAGCCAACTAAAAAAAGTTGGGAACTGGAAAATGTATAAATATTGTTAAACCGGAAAAAGAAGAAGAATATAGTGAAGTTGTACTGCCAACACTCATAACCGGTTATCTGTTGCCCGAATTATTCGATGAGTACTTGACAGTACAGAGTAGTGGCATCAGAAGAGCAACGCAGTGATATTTAGGTAAGAAAGCATTTCCGACCCCATGTTCATAGGAATTCTTTTGTTTTGGGTCCGAGAACATGACGCTAAATTTTCCAAAAAATATTCTTATTTGTACATCGTATTTATGTGCGTGGTATAACTTTAGCAAGGAAAATAGGTCTATTGCCTTTTATAAATCATAATGCTTTTGCCAACAAACTGACATTAAAAATTTTGCAACATGCTAAAGTTTATGTAAATCAGTAATTGCAAAGGGTAGATAATATTGTTCAAATTAGGGAAAAATAAATTTATTATTCTGTGTAAAGCATTTAAAGTCAGAATAGCATACTTTTCGCTTATCTATTTTATGATAGTGTTATATTTGTTATTGTTGTTCTTCTTATTATTATTATTTCTAATAAATGAATTGAATGGAATTGAATTATACCGGTTCATTCCAAGTAAATGTTTCTTCATAGTATATTTTTCTTAGTATTTTTGTAATATTTGTGACTATATTGTGAGTCTGTGATGTTTTAATAGTGATTCCCTGTTTAATCTCAATTAAATAAGATCCATAATTCAAACTGCATAAAATGTTTTGAATAAAATAAAAAGTAGGACATAACAAAATAACTGTTCACGTTATGAATTACTGTAATATTCTTAATTAGCATACTCGATTTCATAAAAAAGGAGCTTATTTCGTTCATGTTATCGAAAGAAAGTAAACACTTGTCCAATGTAATTTGTAGATAGACAAAATATTTATTCATGTTTCCTGCGCTGTTTCACGGCCTATTCATAGAGACACCTTAATTTTATTATTGTGCCATGTTAACGGGATCCATCCTTGATGTTCATCTAAAATTTTATTTGGGCACAATAATTCATTTGATAAAACTGATATACGTTACGTCACGTCACGGTGTATGAAGTTGATGTTTCCTAAATGGGTAGTACAGTCGTTAGCACGACCCAAACCTGGTGACATGCAACGCTGATACTCTATTTTCAGACCTTCTCCTATTTGAACTGAATGAGCAAGTCAGCCAGATGGCGGTGTAACTTCTTCTAGCCGCTTAGCTCATCCGTTTATCTGCCCACTCCTGAGTCACTGACTGTCGGCACTCCTCAATGTCACCACTTTCGGTCATTTATTTATATTGTTCAACAGCGCACTCATCGTTTCCAGCCAGTAATATATTTCAAAAGGCGCTTCGCATCTTGAATCATACCTCAAAATCGTCTTAAAGTTTGGATATTTTGAACACCACGCCGTTTACAAACTAAATGAAGTAGTAATTAGACCCTAAGTGATTGTCTTGTTAATAGACCAGTATCGTTTTATTACAAATAATTAATTATACGGCCTATCACAATGCCTTCCGTACTTTTTAATGTTTAAATTATGAATCTCCTTGTGCAGTTTTATATATTTTTCTGTTACTTCCTGTTACGTAGGTAAAATATTTTCATCAGCAGTCTGTTGTAGACGCCCTTAATCTAAGTTAACCTTTCGGATAAGAGATCAAGTTCATATCCATATAAAACAACGGATAATAGTTGTGTGGCAAACATGGACTTCTTATTCTGCCTATTATATTTATGAATAATTAAATAATATTGTTATAATTTCTATCAACACGGAAAATAATTTATATGTAGCATTAGACAGTTGATATTTAATCATTATCAGTAATATATTACTATCGGTCATCGGTCAATAGTACAGAGTCAAACCTTGTCCTTAACACTCATTTCATAGTAGCTTCTAGAAAATTCATTTCAAATTAATGAATTGCTACGTCAGGATCTTAATCAAGATGTCTACTGTTCCCACACGTTTTTTTGGTCCCAAGCTTGAATGTTACAAGAAAGTTATTGTCATTATTTCTCGATGCGAAAAAATGTTTACGAAAAATGTGTATAGTTTTCTTTGTTTTCGCTTTGATTTTGTTTGCTATTCTTTGTATTTATTTTCTCTTCTTGTGTTCACTCTGTAATTGGCTCCTGTAGCTGTCGAGTTACCACTTTAAAAAATGAACTGAATTATTATTTTAAAATGACTGCCTTCTGCGTTATTACGCCGTGTAGTTTGGCAAAAGTTTACCAACGTTTCGTAGGTCGTTGCTGCCTCCATCATCAGGGCGATAAGTGACTTCTACCAGACTATACGGTGCTACATACCAGAAGACAGCCATCTCCGTACTCATCGCCGATTATCGATACGAAATATTGATAAAGAAGTCTCCTAACCTTACTTACTTTTTTGTATGTATCCTAATTTTTCTTGAAGGCAGTACCCGGACGCCGTCTTTGTACCACTGTATTACAGGGAGCGGGTTCCCCTTGACTCGACATACGCGATTCAGCTTCTCTTTCGGTTTCAGCGAAATGTCGTGAAGTCCGGTGATAGATGGTGGTCGCACTGCAACACAAACATTCTTATCAGCGAGTACACGACATATTATATATAGTCTCTGTCCAAGTATCTACCATGCACAATTCACACTGAAAACTTCAACGTCACTGAATTATTTACATGTGAAGAAAAACTGGAGATGGCAAAAATTGCAATTGGAAGAGAAAACGGAATAAATGAAGGTGAAAACAAAATTATAGAAATAAATGAACAGCTGGACAAAGAAATTGGGTGGGAAGAAGATGAGATGATATGATGGTGCTCGAAACAATTAGAGGAGATGAAGATGAATATAAAAAGGAAGGAAAAGGAAGGAATAATTTTATAGACTGCATAGAAACATTATCACAAGACTTATGATAGCGTAAAAAGTGATGTTGCAGTCTAATTACAAAAGTGATTTATATATGCCTTACATTTGTGTCAAAGTCCAGATTATCGTAGTCTATCCGACCTGACACAAGATGGCCGACCTTAGGCACTATTTGCAGTTAAGAATGAAGCATATGCATAGAAGACTAAGAAGAGGGATAAATGACGAAAAGGTTGAGCGTAAGCAGAAAAGGAAGACTTGATTATGCAGAAGAAAATATTTCTTATTATTTTTTTATTTTCACTTCCGTTTTATCGATACCTTCACCTCACAATCGACTGTTATTGACTTAGTCGATCAGTATTCATTTTCTATCAGTAATCAATAAATTGTTTGATGACCGAAAGAAGACATTGGAAGGAAGCAATGAGTATGACAATGAACCGAACTGTAGACATGTTCTGTCAATGTCGACAGAGACCACTGAGCTAAGGTCGCTTCGCCTTATAGGAACAGTGCGGGTCACCGAAACGTCTGTAGTGCCGCTCCCGTGTATACGGTCTCATCACCCGGAACAAACAAAATGTACAGATATGTCATCTTAAAACCGCATTCGACTTGAGCACACATAAAGAAATTCTGTATTTTGCTTACGTTGTTTGTAAATTGGTTTGATGTGATATTTGTTTAAACGACATTAACGAACTGATATTTGAAATTGTTACTCGTTGTTTACTTTCAGGTAGGGACCGGATTTTTAGATAGTATTTAGATGATACATCATCGTGAAAGATATATAACTAATCTGTGAAATTGTTCTTTTGACATTTTAGTATCATCTAAATTATAAAACAATTAAACTACGTTTTTAAATCTGGATTGTGCTTCAGTCTTCATGTAGGAAGGTCGGGGGGTGGGGGACAGAAAGCCCATATTTTGGGCTCCGTGGTTTAGTTAACCACATACCAATTTGAGATGAAAGACAGAATTGTCAATGTGAAATAAAATTATTTTATAGTATTTTTCCGTTTGTTCTCCGTTACCATTAAACATGCACTTTTTAAACATTCAGTATTCGAAGACACGTTATATCCGAACATACCAATCGAAGTTGAGAACAATGTCAGTTAGATATGATATGAGGTTTTCACGGCGGTGAATACGAAGATGGCTGTCTGGATTACAGTGTAATCTGGTGGAAGTCTAGCAGAAGACAACCATTTTAATGTCAGATAAATGTATGGTCAGTAAAAAGTCTGTTAAATATTAAGTGGAACACATTTCTCTAACCTGTACCTGGCTGTTTTGACTTGAGAACCCTCTGGCGGCAAAACCAGTTAGTCCCATGTGTGGCGCAGGTGATGGTCGAACGCGTTTATACTACAACGTGAGGCGCGCTCTTCTGTAAATATTTACATTTAGAAGAGACCCAGAGCTTATACCCACAATCCCACACGCTTTGCATGGATATATACAGATTGACTACTATATTGGCTGCCGAAAACAAGACTCGTTCACACAGTGTAATAAAACAAGTTAAAATTGGGTCAGATAAGAACAGAAATACTTGCAAATTTTATTATATTTTTTATATCTTGCGGTAACAATTTGTATCAGTACGATAAGTGTGTATGTTACAACGTGTATTATTACTGCCAATGTAGATAAATGTTTCTTTTAGATAATTTATATATTATTTTGGTTACGTTAATTTCATTACATCGGATATTCGTGAATGTCGACATATTAGGAAATTTATATGTAAACCTAAAACACTGAATCTGAAACTAAAATAAGCCCAGATTGACTTATATACCTCTAGGATTCGGTATCAAAGGCGCCATTTAAAAATTCGTTTACAAGAACTTGAGACTGAAATTAAGTTAACGTTTGTTTCTGCTTACAGATACGATCCAAAATCTCGATTTTCATTATTTATTTTCTGTAATGCAATTATTATTTCCAAGCTGCGATTAATAGTGAAAATTCCAGCACCTCGCTGTCTTTGTACACTAAGTTTAATGGCGGAACTTTCTTTCTCAGCCACTTCTTTGGGCAGAAAGGTACAGCGATGTTGCCACGTTGATATGACGGCGAGGGGAAGCTGTGTTTCTGGAATGGGCGTAAGCGTTCGTGACACGTCAACTTGACAACGTCGCTTTTTTACTGTTGGTAATATAAAGAGTGTAGCACATTGATGGCTTGTCATAGGTAAGGAAATTTTAACACGAAGTTGAAAACGTAAGATTTGCAACAACTTTTACCTCTTTACTTTATTCCGTATATATTTTTTTCAAATAACCGAATGGCATGCACTTATGGGACACTCCATATAGTCCATTGAAAATCAGCAATTGTTCTACAAAACATTATTTGCTACATTACTGTGGGCTGTGTGTGAACGCTTCCTTGGGGGACGCATACGTAGATAAGATAATTATGTCTTTAAGACGCTGATTTGCACCTGTTATTGGGAAAGGTTTCCAATTCCATATTCTCAGTTCTCAAAAGCGTTCTCAAAGATCGATACTACGAGAAAAATTTCGTTACGTGGTCTTTTTTGTGGGGACGAGCTGTTATGTCTCCGCCCAACGTCCAAGTCCGTGGACTACCATTTGTTGGCTTTCTGTTACTGTTTATTGAATATATTATCAGCTCCATTTCAAATCTGGAGTTCTTCTAATACCTAGAGACGCGTCAGACCGTAGGACAAGAGATCTTTAAGATTGTTATAACTTGTACTTTACCTGACATAAGTAGCGCCTGTGATTTGTTTGTTAGGCTATAATCACAACAACTGTGTCGGATAAGTGGCCGAGCAGGACCGGCGAAACTGTTTTAATGTTCACATCGTGTCCCGTGACATTTGTTTCACTGGAAATGAGCAACCTGAAATGTGTAAAAATAAATCTGAACGTCTGGTCTTTTTCTTAAACTCACCATTAAGGCACGGTCTTTAAAGGAGATATATTAATACTGCTTACTTTGCTTTATCATTTATTTAAAGATGTTGTCATTAGTGCAGACTATACAGCCTTGAATGGTAAGTGAATAATGAATTGGAAAGGATGTGGAAGGAACCGTTCGCGGCCTTTTTAAGGTAGTATCTTGAGATTTAGAAGGAAGTAGTGAATAATAACACAGGATGATGCAGAAGACTGCAAAATAAGGAACTTTATATCGTGTGCTTTTACTAATGTCATGATTAGGGCAATAGATGAAGGAGGATGAGATGAATTGGACATTTAGTACGCATATCGCCCTGATGACGGAGGTAGTATGACCTCTCAAACGTTGGTTAATATCGACCAGACTACACAGCGCAACAACCCAGAAGACAGAAATCTTCTAAAAAACAGAAGTTTCTACAGAATTTTAGTGAGAAATCTTGAAATTGTATAGATATACTAGGTCTGATTTGGAGGATAATATTAATTATGATCTGGATGACGTATTAAAGATAGGATTCAGTAGCGGGCTGTTGTGAACACGGTAATGAACATTCAGGTTCCATAAAATGCAGGCAACTTTCTTCCTGAAGAATGACCCTTAGATTTAAAATTAGAAATTCGAAGATGACTGTCTTCTGGGTTGTAGCAACGTGTCGTCTGGTAGAAATTTATTAACTTTTCAGAGGTCTTTGCTGTCTCCATCATCAGGTAAATCATCGCCCTGATGAAGGCATGGAGACAGCCATCTTTGTACACACCGCCATGAGAACCTCAAATCCTACTAATAAATTGGTACTCATGGATTTAGGCATTGGTGAAACCGATTTTTAATTTTTAATTTCTTCGACTGTAGTCCAATGAAAATAACACAAGGACGTCATATTTGTTCAGGTGAGCCTTAAACGAAAATTTAATCAAATAGTCGGTTTTCTTATTTTTTTGCGTGTTAAACGAACTTGTTGAAAATTATTGTCTTTTTTATGTTGCGCCATACAGTCCTGTAGAAATTTACCGACGTTTCAGAGGTACTTGCTGTCTCCATCTTCATACTCGCCGCCGTGAGAACCTCAAATGTCACAAGATATTAGTTGTTTGAAAAGCGTATTTGGTTTCTCTTCTTAGCATTAATAATAATGACAAATATTGTTATTTAATGTGTATTAGCATCTTATCTTATTTCATATGCCAGGGAAGTAGAAACATAGATACATTATATGATCTACAGATAGACCTACCACTTATCAACCTTATACTTTTATGAATCTACTTATAAAAATAATTACTCTTCGATTACTGAATTTCTTCACCAGAAGTGCCATCTTGTATGTTTATCGACAGATCAATAGCTACGGAACATATAATGAAGGAAACATGTTAAAAATCAAGATGGCGGAGACGCGTACCTCTGAGAATAATTTGGACACTCTGTATTGCCATTATTTTATGGTGAAAATGTTACGGAGAAGTGACGTTGCATGTAAGCGTGATGTGAATTTATATTCAGTTTGAAGTATTTAACAGAAATATACTTCGCAAGTTCTTCTCGGAATCCGTTGTTTTTCCACCTTCTTCAACTTCTGTTGCGTATTTCACAACGAAGTACGTGTTACCCTCAGTTGAAAGCAAACATCACCATGCAACAGTTTATGTTTGCTGTTCTGGGTTTCAGTTGAACTTTTAAAGAGGAATTTAGACGTAGAAACTTTTCAGTACCACACGCATGGAATTCCCACGTGATATTC